CCAATGGGATCACCAATATCCGGACTAACTGCAGAAGCAGTGATGCAGAGACTGGAAGCCATCATCCTACTTGTGATCAGACAAAAATTTTGGATTCGTTATGCAGACGACACTTTTGTCATCATTAAAAGGGACGATATAGAAAAGACCCACAGTTTGATCAACCACGTTTTCAGTGACATCAAATTCACAATGACGAGGAAGTCAAACAACCAACTACCATTCCTCGATGTTCTGGTCAACAGAACAAATACGGAGAAGCTGGAAGGAAATCCAAGTGTACAGGAAGCCAACACACACTGACCAAATCCTCAACTACAATAGTAACAACCAAACAACACACATAATCAGTTGCTTGCAGACTCTATTCAGAAGACCAAGAACACACTGCAGCACAAAAACTTCACAGAGAAGGGAAGGAAATTGCTTGATATCCACCCTAAAGAAGAACTACTACCCACGAAACTTTATCAGAAGATGCCTATCCCGTGCATCACCAACTACAAGGCATCGACAGAAATCAACAAAATCATCATCATACCATACATTAAGAATATATCAGAAATCACGACAAGATTGATGAGATCACTCGGAATTGGTGTGGCCGGCGCACAAACCAACAAATTCCCTGCAAACACTATCATACAGACCAAATAATGTGACAAGCAAAGAAGACAAACCGAATATCATTTACAAAGTCGACTGCAATAACTGTAGTCAACACTACATTGGACAAAGTGGTCGCCCTCTTCGCTTTCATCTACATAAACACCAATTGGCCATTAAACGTCACATACGACATTTCATCACCCATTTCAATGCATCTGGATAATTATGGACATGAATTTGATTTCGACAATGTAGAAAGTTTGGACAGAGGGAACACAAAAAATATCAGAGAATTCCTAGAAGCTTGGCATTCAGGTCAGTCAGTCAGCAATCAACAGATGTATAGACATAGACCCAGTCTATCAACCAATAAGAAGGGTGATAAACGACAGAAAGGTCAGAGGTCAAGCAGAGGGGCAGCCAACAGGGAGGTCTATACAATCAATGACACAACAATTGAAGGAAACAACCAATCACAAACCACATCGCCAGAGCAAGCAACTTAATCACTGACGGAGAGATATTGACAGCTCACTTCACACAGAAGTTAGTGCTGATGATGTTGTCTAGAAGGACGATGAAAGCTTCACGATTAAACAACCCAGCTCATAGAACACAATACAACCAAGACAACTCATATAAAGTGACATAAGTATAAAAATCAAATGTCGAAAGTAGTGTGATTATGAGTAATGATGATTTTTGTTCGAGACGTCATTAGGTAAATAATACTAGACGACTGTATGTTTTTAATCGAATAAACAAATCTAATATGGAATTAGACTTAAAAGATACTCTGGATACAAAATTACTACCGGAACAGGCTGGCTTTAGAAAGAACAAATCATGTGCCGATCAAATTGTAACGCTACGTCACACATCATCACAGAACAGAGCATAGAATCGCAATCAAGTCAACTCAACCTGAACTTCATCGATTTTGAAAAGGCACTCAATAGCGTCGACCGAAAATAGCTTGACAAGCAGCTGCTTCAGCACTACGGTTTTATTACCACAAACATTTATCAACCTCATTCAATAGCTATGTGTTATATGACAAAGCCATATGCCAAGTCTTGCAGCACAAACTTGAAGATCTGTAGGCGAAAACCCGCAAGTTGGCAGCAGAGGCGAGACGATGAGGATAGGATTGACTTCAGGCGAACGTAGAGAAAACTGAGGTGACCAAGGTACCCAACCAACAACAACAACAGCAACCACAAGCACCAATCACCATTAACGGGAGAAACCTTAAGGTATTAGTCTTTTTCATCTACCTATCTAGACAGGCAGCATCGTTTCAAATACAGGTGGTACAGATGAGCGTGTGAAAGCAAGGATCGGGAAAGCAAGCAAGACAGGACTTCATCAATCTGAAATAGTAAGTGTGCAGATCTACTGGACTGCATTGCACTCACCTCTAAGCAAGAACAAGATCCGGATTTTCAACACTATTCAGTCAAGTCAGTCAGTGCTTCGATGTGATGGTTGAATGACTTGGCACGTTACGAGAAGCATTTCCAACAAACTACAGACATTCATCACATCAACAGCTGTCTCCTACTCTCACTCAATACTGAAGACCAGATCAGATGGCTGGAATAATAAGAATAAGCAATAAGGAACTCTGGCTGGTTGGCTGGCTGGCAACGAACCAGCCAAGAAACCATCAGCTAACAAATATGCAGAGGGAGAAAGTGGAGATGGATTGGAATGTATTGGACATACATTGAGAAGACGGTTTGGGGACATCAAGCTTCAGGCGAGGGCATCGAGTGGAATCGAAATGGAAAACGACGAGTTGGGTGTCTAAGGCGAGGGTGACATGAATAAGATCACGTGAAAGTTTGCGGGCAGTGGTGTAGTCAGGTTGACTGCAAAGAAGAGGGTAAATTAGTGACGTACTCTTGAAGCTCTTTGTTCCACTGGTGACCCAAAAGACAAATAACAATAATCACATGAAAATGGTAGGAGTAATGTTATGGTGTCTTTATTAAATCGAAGTATAAGTTTTTATACATCACCTGAAATCTTCTATGAGATTATCAGTTAATAATGAGTAAATATATCTAAGCGCTGACAGTTGATCCCCATTCAAGGAAGACTACTAGCCGTTTAGCGATTAAATGTTCAAAATCCCTTTTTCTCTTTTAGTTAAAATTATTACTAAATCTTATAAAGTAGTTAATATTGACTGATATTATGTAACAGCATAATGTCTGAAACTCAACAACACTATTACATTCCACAGACGCAGTAAACTGTTTATCAAGAAGACTAACGAATTATTGAGCAGTTGCATAATTTCGCACTACATAACCCATGATAAACTGTCAATGCTAATATATCAGAGGTACATTTAAATAAGATTGAATAGGTTCTGAATTTTTCATTTTTCTTTCTAGTGACTCATTCTTAAGCTGTACAATCATATATTAATACATATAAAGTATATTTACTTAGGCAGCATAAATAGAAAATTATCAAAATCATGTTGACGAAATTCCATTTTAATTGGAGATACGGATATTTACAGAAATGAATTACATAACGTGGAAATAAAGATTCATCTTGGTTGTATTGTGTTCTCTCAGCTAGGTTGTTTAAACGTGAAGCTTTCATCGCCTTGCTAGACAACATCATCAGCACTAACTTCAGCTCAGAGAACACAATATAACCAAGACCATCCACCTGAGCTACAAATATTCTCCATTATTACAAAGATTTATCGATAACTAAAACAAGATTCGCTGGCTAAGTTGAATGATGTAGTAATAAAAATAAATTTATTCTTTAAAACACAACGCGGTTGTTTAATATTGGAGGTAATCATTAAAAGTTCATTGAACAAACTCTACAAATAAATATTTGACCAAGGTAAAAACTGAGATGTTAAAAATTATCATGATTATAGCAGAGTTTCTACTGTTTAGATTAAAATAACATTCAAACAGTAGTGATCTCCTTGCTAAATTGTGGAACAAGTTCATCTCAGTATAAGCTGCTAGTAAGTTGATCAGTATTTCTCCATTCCGCCTAACTCTCATTTGATATTGCTTTACCTCTTTTCACTGCTTGCTTCCATATATCTCTATCTTTCATCTTGGTGCATTCTACCTTATTATACTGATAAGAGTTGTGGTAATTTGGACCGTTGTGCAGTAATACCAGTTGCCATGCTGATAGTGAGTGACTGAATTTGAAGAGTTTTTAAATGGCCTTACTTTTTGAAATAGCCTCAGTCGCAATACTCATCTAGGCATAGATAGATGGTTTTATAGTAATGACAGATAGTGGCTAGCACAGAAATCCAAGGAGAGCGTTTCTTTGTGTGTGGGATTTGTCAGTTGCATCCTGGTGATCGACGTTGCTTAGACTAGGACTCGAAATAGGAACTTGTTGAAACAAATGCAAGAGAGCTATCAAGCATCATTATAGAACTGAAACAACAGAATATATTGCATCACTATAGTGAGAGCCTATAAGCCAAAAGAGACAGATAAATTGGATCCAATTAACGACAGAGTGCACGACAAGATGACATACATGAATGATTTTCAAAACTGAATACTCACAGGTTACCTGTCAGTGAATCACCAATCAACTTTCATGTGTTCATCCTACCAGTCTTAGCCATCTGTTTAACCCTATTAAATCACAACCCATTTTTGAGCTTAATTTAAATAAGATGAGGAGAATAATCTTTTGGCTGTCTCAATAACAAAAAGACATTTCGCTGCCACTCAAGTGACTAACAGGTGATAGATCTTGATAATTTAGGTGAAAAAGAGATATGGATTGAAGGGGGGTCTTGTGGCATAGTGGGTAGTCCCCCTGACTCATACGTCAAATACGTCAACGCATCACAGATGAGTATCGCATTTAGCTAAAAATACACGTGATAACCAGTCAGAATTGAATAGTCCTTTCATCCTAGCTAAGAAGTATCAGAAAGTGTGATTACACGTCCTAATCTGCAGTCTACCTGAAAACCGTGGTATTCTATGAAGAAGGTATGCATTACTGGGTTATGGATCGAGATATAACCATCACCCTCTTCTGAATTTTATTGGTTTTCAGTAAAGCACAACCACAGTGGATATCCTTCAAGATTATCGATCCTCACACAAACATGGTTCACTAACAAGGTCAATCGTGTACCTTGAAGTTCAGAAAATCTACCACGAATACTAAGCATCATAGACTACCATGATAAACCAGTCGACTGTTCCCAACGCCCCCACGGTTCTAAGTTAGTATCGATATGCAACGCGACGAATACTTTGATATTGACCAGCACCCTAGAAATATCATATCCCAAATAATTTTTGAAATCGTTACTTCTTTTACAATAGGATAGATAACTCAGTTGGTTGCATGAAAAATCTGTCTTCAACTTCAAATGTTATATTTTGACTAAAAATTTGATCATTTCAAGTGGTGAACACGAGTAATGGAAAAGGGAGAACACAAGAACCATAAAACTCATTTGATAGATTTCACTCAATACAAATACATGTTTGTTTCACAGTTCCAGTGAGTTTCTTCGATTGGATATATTCATTCCAGGTACGTAAAAGTGTAGTCCAGTTTGGTTTTGGTAGTTTCTTTATAACTGATGGTGTACGAGCTGTTTTGATCACTGATGGCTTGGCGGTTGTGTGAGATGGAATTGGTGTTCTGTGACATTCACTACTAGACTTTGTTTGGTAAGGCTTTTCATCGTCATAATTACCACTAAAAAATAGTTAGAGAAGAAAGCATTTTCATTACTTATTGCCTGCAAGTTATTAAGAATAGTAATTTTTACAAAACTTTGATGTGTATCTCTCAGATGTGAAGTGGATTATTGTATTTATTCATTAAATGTTATCAATAATTTATGAGTCGATTTATTAACTATCGCAATTAATCATATTTGCTTACCCAGGACCATAATTGCAAACAACGGATAGTCCATATGGGAAAGATGTACCTTTGCAGTCTCTTACACCACATCCAACATGAGTTGTGTTCTGCCAAACCAACTAAAAACAGTAGTTGTTTTTAAAGTAAACATTTCATTGTAATAAAATTGATAAAACTTTTTTTTCTAAATAAATAAATCCTTTCCGGTTTTTTATTGCTCCTGTTTTATTCACAAGGGTAAATGTAATGTAAATTTAACAGTACACTCTGCATAACCTTTTTCTGGTAGTGCAATAAAGGATATCAGTAAGTATGGAACGAGATATTATTGAAATACGATTTAGCCAGTATGTGGACGAATTCAGTTGTAAGGTGAGTACTCCAACCATACGATTGTTCAGTGTTTCATTGTATTGCATAATGAGGTGTGTATGTATTCACTAATTCTCACCAATAATTTTACAAAGTCAGTCAAAAACTGTCAGCTTATACATTTCATGAACATGTCAAAGGAGAAATACTCAACTTCGGACATCTGTAAAGTTATCCCGCAGCCTGCACATACAACTTCTGTGTTTCTCATTTAGTAAACTTACAAACATCAAGTGATACACAATCAAAATTCCTATGTTTTACGCTAGTTTTAGTGCTCAAAGTAGAAAAGTCTACTTAACTGATTTAAAAACAAACGAGGATTCATATTTTCGTTCATTAATGTTTCGAGTTATCTTCTCACACGGGACTAAAATGCTTTTAAACACTGATTTCTAGCATAAACTATTCTGAAGGAACTGGAAACAGTTCGTAAAGAATGTCATGGTAGAACACATGTCTAGCTTATTTTATTCAGATTATCCTTTTAATTTGCTAATTTTAATTCATTTATTTGCAACGAATAATTGTTGTTAAGCTGAGCAGTTTTTGCGTATATGCACCAAGAATAAAGATTCCTGTAATCGGTGTTTTTGATGCACAATTTAAGTAGCACGTTTCCCTTGAGTTTTGACTAGTCGGTGTGTATCTTGTACCAACCAATAGCTTCAGATTTTACAGTGAGTATATGGCTTACAGTACGAAAATAGTCACACCATTTTACATGGTTATTCCCAAGAATTTGGAATATGGATAAGTAGAGACTAGATGAAGAATGTTATATTACGCTACTAGTACTGATAGTAACAATAAAAATAATTCCTTCACCCCAATCAATACGTGGGATACAAAGTGGAATGTTTAGCATTTTTTAATCCAGTAAATTCATTCCTTGCACAATAACTTCGAGCTAAATAGTCATTGTATTTAAATTATGTTAACAATAACAGTAATTTAACCCACAATGTGAAACAGGCACCTGGTATTACATTAACATCTGGTTTCGACAGGTGAATGAATAGAAAATCCAGCTTGATTTTGCTGGTCGTAGTTTATTTAGTTAGCACCAAGATCTGCAACTCTACATAGTCATCCAAAGAACAGTAATGTAAAGTATTTCAATGCATTTTTAAGCCTATATCTCACCAGTGTAAACTTTTCCCTTTGTTTTGTTGTTAGATTGAAAAAAACACCAGTTTGAAATCATTTAAAAAGTGTACAAGAGTACATGATGAACTTGAAGGTTTAAAAATAATTTAAAGAGAAGAATTTAAATAAATTTTTGCGTGGAAACTTTACGGTAGCCCAAGATTTAAGTAAGCATTAGCTTACCATTCCTTTACTCAAGCAAGTTATCTTGATGACAGTAAAGAAAACTAAATAATTTCTACAAAATATTTCAATAATACTAAAAGATCATCAAATGTACCCTCTTAGTTAATTAAGGATGCTCAAGAATTTTAAAGGTCTTTCATAAAGTTTATACATTGCACATTACAATGATATAGTACTGCATAATATTTACTCACATATTTTACTGAGACCAAAAAATACCTAATGTTCCATTTAACAAGACTTACTTGAGTATAATGTCCACAGATACGACTACAGTAGCCTGTTGCAAAAGTATAATCCTTATATTCAATAAACCATTCATACATAGCCCTAAAAGTGAAAATGTAGTGGATGAATCCAAAAGAAATTTATTTCTTACTTCTCAACTGTTTGATATCCTGCAATATTTTGACCGACATACTTGTATTTCGATAAGTGGACATCATTATGGTGGAAATAGCATTCATCGGCTAAACTCTGCGCATAAGATGCAAGATCATTATCCCATTTCTGAAATTTTAAGAAAAAAGAGAACAATTTCAGATAACTTTCTTACACTGGTACACTTATTAAACAGTGAATTTCTATTGAAAACGGAAGATAAGAAAAGCTTACAAGATCTGGAAGATACTTAGCTGGGGGTTGTCCTTCCACCTTACACTCCATTAACATATGTCTGTAGTCGTTGTGCATTTTAAGCAGTTTCTCAAGTTGAGGATTCCATGGCTGTGAGTTTACAGCTTGTAAGCATATAGAAAACACCAAAAAGCAGGATGATAGAATGTGTATCAATTTCATTTTGGTGATGGACATCAGTTGAATAAAGAGAATTTATATACTCTGCTATTGTTAATTGTTTACAATCTCGTGAATGCAAGTAACCAACAGAATTTGATTTGGCAAGTTATTTCATTTGCTCGTGCTTAGGATGCGCAAATAAAAATTTATTTTTCTCACTTACTTATTTTCACAACAAATTGTGAAATACATGTAAAACATATCATTATTGTTGCTTGTATAGTGATGATAAAGTGAATGATTTCCTTTAAATTGTAAACAAAATAATTCACAACTACTGACCGTCGTAAAATCACCAGCAGTCACATTAAATTTACTAGCCAATTCGTGGCTAGTAAGAATGAAATTATTGTCTGGTGGAATCAAAGTAGGAAAAATATCATCAGCGAGGATTTCAAACACTACATTATCTCTCTCCTTAACAAAATTTCATTTCATGGATTATACTCCTGTTTCTATCGAAATGAGATTTAGAGAAGCTGCGGAAGAGGTGAACACCACTGAGAAAACTATGACTTCATATAAAAAGTCTTCACAATTTTTCACCAGTTCAGATCACAGGTTTAAAAATCTACCTGTTCTATGTAGGTGATACATTGAGCAAATAACCTAGAAATTATGACTTACTATATGCACAGATTCATTTCAAAGATTTAATTAGTTGGAAAAAATAATCTACTCTCAATGTCTTCAAATGAAGTGAACTAGTTACAATACAGTGAGCAACTGAGTATTTTAGGTCACGAGAATGAAGATGAACTTTCTGTGTTATCTGAACGAAGATCATCTAATGTAAATTCAACTCTACAGGAAATCCTATCTGAAGATTTGTGGAGATTTATTTATAGATATTAGGTTGGAATACATCATCATCATCATCAAGTCATGATGAATCCCAATCTTGAAGAAATAGATTACTATCTTAAAAACATATTGTTTAACTGATATAGATTTAACATCACTATGTAGATGAAAAACCTCGCCTGGTTAACTAGTTCACTAGTTACTAGACGGTCCTAAGCCCGGATAAAGCGCAATGGTTGGGCATACGGCTAGCAACCCTACTCCGTAAAACCAATACAGTCGCTAAACAAACTTCAAAGCACAGGTAAAATGAAAAAAATAGAAACAAACTTATTCCTTACTGGAATCGAAGAGACGATATGACGCCAGTTGGTGGAAGCCTTCAGGAAGCCAGTCGGCCGATGTTTCTTCTCTCCATGAAGGCTAAAGTACGGATGGGGACATGGATTGTCCACATGACTGAATTTACTAAGGCTGCCCAGATTATCTAAGAGATGGGGCTATATAGCATAGAAGAGCTAGGAATCTCCGAAAGCAGATGGAATGGGGGTGGACTCTCCTAACTCTCAACTGAAGAGGAGTCAATAATCTACTCCGATATTATCGCCCAGACGACAACCACCAGCATACTGAGTTGTAGAGTGGCTGTCATGATTTCAATAAGAAAATAAAAAGCTCTCATGCACTGGGAACTAGTCTCCTCCAGAATCATGACAGCAGAATTCAACTCACAAGGAAAGAAAGTCAAAATCATTCAATGCTACACTATGCTATGCACCTACAAATAATGCAGATCAAGAGAAGAAGGAGGAATTCTACACACAACTTCAATCACTAATGGACAGGACACCACACCTGTTGGCCACATCAAATTTATTATGGGTGCGGTGACATGAAAGCCAAAATGGGAACGGACAACACAGGAAGAGAACTGATCATCATGAGTGGAGAAGCACTCGGTGAAGTGATGAATGTTAATGGAGAACTGTTTGCAGACTTCTGTGCATATAATGATTTGGTGATTGGCGTTAGTGTGTACATACACAAGGATATTCAGAAAACGACATGGATTTGATTTCACCGAACACCAGGACACACTACACTGAAAATCAGATCGATTTCATCTCAATGTGAAGAAAGTGGAGATGCAGCCTACTGGACACAAGATGAGATCAAGTAGGGGAGCAGATGTTGATGCTTCAAACCACTCACTATCTAGTGCAAGCACACCACCTTCCAAGTCAAGTTGAAAGTCTTCGCAGAAGTTGGTGACAGACCACAGTTCAAGTTCAAGACTCAGCCATAACAGAAGCTGAAGGACGGAACTACAGAGTGGATCTTCACGTCAGTCATTCTTCAGGACAAAATTGGAGACATTGAGCAACGTCCCTGAAGAAACCTGTGTGGAAGAAGACTGGAACTCTTTGAAAGCTATGTGGACAGAAACCTGCACAACCGTGTTAGGAAGGAAGAAGAGGGGGCAAGACGAGGAATGGAATGGATCTCGATGGACACATGGAAGCTGATAGAGGTGGGAGAGGAAGATGTTGAAGCAGAAGATGAACCAGTGGAGTGGAGTGCAGGGATGAACAACGAAGAGGGGAACTGAACACAACCTATAAAACACTAGACTGGACAAAGAAGTGAAGAAGAGTGCACGGAAAGACAAAACACACTTCTCCTACAGATTGGCGAGTGAGGCAGAACAGGCTGGAGGTAGGAGAGAAAGAGACCTGACAGCACTATATCAAATAACCAGGTTGCTATCTGGGAGGGAAGATATCAACGCAGACGAAACCAATGAAAGACAGTGAAGCAAAACTAGTTTCTAAAGAGGAAAAACAAAGTAGACAATTGGGTGACCACTTCAGCAAACTCTCGAGTCGACCACCACCACCTGCAACACGTCCAAAAATACCACCAGCAACCGCAGAACTACCAGTGGACAGAAGCTCTCCAACAAAACGCGAAGTCCTTAACGCCATAATATCGCCGAAATCTGGGAAAGCAGCAGGACCCGATGAAACTCCACCAGAAGCACTGAAAACAGACGCAGAGACAACAGCGGACATGCTCACACCACCATTGCAGAAGGTTTGGAGGGAACGGTGGAAAAGTACCTGCCGGATGGGAGAAGGGCTGCATTGTCAAGCTCCTAAAGAAGGGAGACCTAATTGTTTGCAAGAACTGGCGTGGAATCATGCTGCTATCCACTCCAAGCAAAATATTAATCCGCATCATCCTGGAGAGACTGAAAGATGCTCTGGATTCAAAATTACGACAGGAACAGGCTGGCTGGCTACAGGAAGAACAAATCATATGCGGATCAAATTGCAACGCAACTCTATGCATCATCATAGAGCAGAGAACAGAATGGCAGTCAACCCATCTGTACCTCGACTTCACCAGTTTTGAAAAGGCCTTCGACAGCCTCGACCGAGAAGTAATTGAGCAGTTGCTTCAACATTACGGAGTGCCACAAATCTTAATCAACCTCATTCAACAGCTGTATGAAGACGCCACATGCTACGTGATCCACAATGGGAAGCTCAATGACTCCTTTGAAGTGAAGACAGGAGTGAAACAAGGCTGCTTACTATCATGTATGATCTTCCTGACTGTGGTCAACTGGACTGGACTGGATCATCCAGCAAACCTTGAAAGGCGAGAAGATGGGCATACACTGGACCGGCTAAAAGACCGTAGAACATTTAAATTTCATCAAGACTGATGATTTACGTCTAATGTCTTGTAGCACAAACTCTAGGATCTGCAGGCGACAACTAACAAGTTGACAGAAGAGGCAGCGAAAACGTGACCTCAGTTGAATGTGGAGAAGACAGAGGTGATGAAGGTACCCAACCAACAACAGCATCAACAACAAACACCAATCATCATCAACGGGAGAAACCTGAAGGAAGTTGTCTAGTTCACCTACCTATGCAGCATCATTTCAACCACAACTGGCGACACAGATGAGGATGTCAAAACCAGGATCTGAAAAGCAAGAAAGATAGGCCTTTATCTATCTGAAATAGCAAGTGTGGAGGTCTACTGCACTCAGCACAAAGAACAAGATCCGGATTTTCAACACCGATTCAGTCAAGTCAGTGCTGCTATATGGTTCAGAAACTTGGCGTGTCACGAAAAGCACTTCCAATAAACTACAGACATTCATCAACAGCTGCCTAACTCTTTGAACCAACCAACTGAGAACCTATCACCCAACAAATATGAAGGAGAAAGTGGAGATGGATTGTATTGAGCATACCCTGAGAAGGCCTAGCGGTGACGTCACGTGCCAGGCCCCTGAGTGGGATTCAAAGCAGAAACGACGAAATGGGTATCGGAAGTGAGGGTCAGATGGAGAAGATCATGTGAAGAAGAAATGAAGGCTTGTGGGCAGTCGTGGCGCCAGCTTTGAAGGCTGCAGAGAAGAAAGCGCAGTGGAGACTTGTTACTGAATCCCTATTCTCCACTAGGAACCCAATGGAAAAATAGTAATTAATAATGAAGATGAAAAGGAAACTGTTTATAGGACAATAAAATCGTGGTATCAAACGCAAGAATGTGAATGGAATGAGTTCAGCATACAAATGTAACTACACTGAAAATTGACGAAGCATTGGAATGACCACAGTCGAACAGATTGAAAAATATGAACATTTGAAATATTTTATCCCATGGATTCTAGAGACTAGCTTAATTACAATAACTGGGATTATTCTTCCTCTGGCATTCTCCATATTTTATCTGCTCATCATCACTCAAATTTCATTTAAAATGGCCTTAAATCCTTAAATTGTTGCGTAGAGAAAATGCGAATACTTTGTTAATGATGCATCTAGGTTTAATGACGGATTGTGGCTCGCATTGGAATCCAGGATGCGCGTTTCCTCCTATTTGTGACTCGCTGATAGAGACCGATCACTTCGCTCCAAGCGACGACGGTACCATATAAAAATCAATTATACTGCATCTAGGTTTGTTAATGAGGTTAGCAGGTTTCAGATTTCGATTCAGGCACCGATATTAACAAATGTAAAATCCTAATTGACAAGCTTACTGAGATCGCATGTTTTGTATGTTGGTAACCATATAGAAATGAACAGTGTGAATTTTGAATTGATCACTCTTCATCTAAAACAGCCTACTGTCAGCTGGATTTTGAGTGTACATTTCCTGTTTTATCGACAGAATAACGACACTGG